GTGTGGCATAAACATTCACAAGCCCGCTGAAAGCACAACAATATTGATCAGTGATGTACGTGAATACAAAACTCAATGCAAGCAGGCAATGATTATTGTAATTAATTAAATCTAATTATCACCCTGAAAATGTTTCGAAACCACTGACCTTTTTTGGATTGAGAGTAAAGATCTTCTGTTAATGTCAACATAAAATGCCATTTTGCAAACCATTCTGATGCATTTGTGAGTTAAAGGGGATGTTCAATGAGAAAAAAATGTTGGGTGGGGTCAGAATATATCCGTTGGACATCATCCATGGATCGTGAAAAGTGGTCTTAGACATTGTTGGTAGGGAACCAACAAGTTATAAGCGATTTTTTATTTTTTTTTGAACTGCACACAATAAGATCAGGAACGTGTATTAGGAAAGTAGATGGGGTAAATTTAGATTTCTTTTTTATGTTGACTTTAACACTAAAAAAAAATAGGGATGAATGACTATAATGATGCCATGTTTTGAGTCAATGATGTACATAAATTTGGACAATTTTATCACTAAAATAAAATAGTCAGCCATTGTTTAATAGCATAGCTGTGAACCCAGGGCAGTTCTATGACCCATAATAGAAATTCTGATGGCCTGCCATAACATCAATTTTTAACAGACTGTTTGCATTATTACTAAGATAGTGAGGTAGTTTTGCTTTATAGCCATGAATGTAAGAGACTCGGTAATAGCTAGAACATTATCAGTGCTGGTAAACATTTCACGAATCCAAAATGCTTTCGATAGTTTCATTTCAAGTCTTTTTGGCACAGAAAAATCAGTGATTAATTCAAAACTATCTTCCATTTTATATTAACAATAAGAGAAGACAAGAGGATGTGGCTGTAACATTTATGACAGCTGTGAGTTTGACGCCGCAACTCTCTTGTTAGATAAATGATGCTGGCAAATTTTACATAACTCCAAACAAGAGTTGCTTTTTCTTTCTGACTCCAGCCTATACTCTGAATGTGCTGTCGGATTTTTCAATACATAGATGTTGAGGAAGGTTAATTTGCTGCTTCTAGCTGCTGTTATGTAATGCTGATGTGAAATATTAATCATGAAAAGCTCAGGACTGCCAAATCTATGCTAGGGAAAGTGCTTTTTGTTAACCCCCTAAACTGCACGCAGGTGGCAGACCTTCCATCTTGAGCAGTGTTCTTGCAAGAGTATGCAGTTTTCTTTCTCCCTGGTGTTTGCGTGTGTATGCATGTTTGAGGTAGTGGGCGACGGTTGCATGTGTGTATGCATGTGCATTTGCGTATGCAAGTATGCATTTTTCCTGTTTCTCAGTGCTTCGGATTCCATAATTGAAAACTAGCGAAACGCAAGCAAAAGGCCAATAGCTGCATCTGGTCAGAGAGCATGTTAAATTCAGTGAGACTGTCTGGAGAAAAAAATGCTTTTTGCTGATGCACAAATTCTTTTACTGCCTTGGGTAAACATACATCAGTTTCTTGAGCAGATGCGGCAGATATTTACAGTTTTCTACTCTGTAATGCATACAGGCACCTTTCGCATGAGTACTGAGACAGTACCGTGATGGAGTTAGATGATTATTCCATGGTGTTTTAAAACAGAGAAAGTATAAGTAGGAGCCGTTGTTGTGTTGGATTTTCCTATCCCCTCACTATTGGAACATGTTCATTGGTACTATATTAAAATATCTGATTAAAAATGATAGAAAATTACTTTATAGCATGTTTAGTATGAATCTAATTAATGTCTATTTATCACATTTTATGCAACAGTTAGTTCTGGTCCTTAAATTGGCCAATCAAGTTTTAAAGTGGTTTCAGAGTCTAACAGCACTGAACGTTTATATAACTCTTTGATTTATTTTTTTATATATTTATACCAGTAGGTGGCAACAAATGACTGCATTATGAGTCATTGACTCATTCATTCAACCTATTCGTTCAAAACACTAATTTGTCCAGAAACACTGCATGAGTCTTTGAGGCGGTCTCATTTCAGAAAAGCAGCTGTTATAAAATACACTGATGTTTGTTGTGAGGTGTAATTACTGTAATTGCTTTCTCACTTTGGAATGTAATGGATGTTTTTCTAAAATAAACCATCTTCGGTGGCATATCCGGCTGACAAATGCAATCTCTGGAGGGCACGGCTTTTGAAATAAGACACAGCAAGTGTATTTATTTATGAGAGAGTCACTGAATAATTTCTTTAGTAGAGCAAAAATAGGAAAAGCAACTTGCTGTATTGTGTTTAAAATGGAAATGCAATTAAAAATTTAATTATTGAGCTGCAATATCATATTTACGATACCTACAAATACATTATATATCGCAACAAATACTTTTTAGTGCAAGTTCTGCTAAAGAAAACAATTTTATGATATCACTGTATAGTTTTCAGATTTTATTGCAATCTTGACAAGCAACTTTGGCAATTTTAGTATTTTCCTATTCAAGTAGATTGGAGCCTTACCTCCATTACCTAACATTCCGGCCGAGGACTGACTTGCCTTAAAGGGACTTCATGTACCACAGTACTGAATGATTACACACTCTGGTACTTCAAAGAAGACCATGATATTACTATGGTACATGCCCAAAAAATACAACGGTAATAATACCATGGTGCTTTTTTGTCAGCGAAGAGTCTCAGTCTAATCCAACATTTTTCAGTCAAATGAAAACATCCCTCTTACCAGTCCTTTTTTTTATACATTGTACTTTGATGGTCAAAGCTGAAGCCATTATCTAAGTGGATTATAAAAAGATTACATCAGCTTCAACCGAAACCTTTCAGGCTTCCGGTAAAATGGCTCTGGATGGAACGAGTACATGTTCTACATGAGTAGAGGAAATTGCGAATGACTGGGAAGAACCGAGGCATTTATGCGTAGAGTGCATGACAGTGCGGTGAGGTGCATCTTTAGTAACCGCAACTGAGGTGTGCTTCTGAACTAAAGATCAGTGCACTGTTGATCTGACGATCCTAATAAGAGGGTTTGCACAAAAGCGCTCAGTGAATTTATGAGCAAACGAGCTCCACCCGCAGCGAGGACTCCCCAGTTGCCCTGTCGCTGCACCTGCTGCCTCTTTTTCTCAATAACGCCAGGGTTTTAGCTGTGAGCTTTAAATGCGCTTATATCAGCACTCATGCTCAAGGCCTGTCATCTCCACGCGCCGCTGCTGAGTTTCCTCCACCTGCGATCTGTCTTTGATCACAACTCTCTGGCTGATGAATGGCACCATGTAGTCGGCATTTCAGAGGGTAAATATCCATTAAACGTTGGGCATCTGTCTCTGGGCAGCCTGGCTGAGGAATGAATGAGAATCGGCCTCGCTTACGCCAGGTCAGTGCTATTCTGAGCTAAACATGAAGTCCTGCATTATTCATATACCTGCTTTGTGAACAGATGCAAATCTGATCCCCAAACGCAAACAATTTTTTCCTACATAACCACCGTCCCCAGTAAAATGGAGAGGCATTTGATCTCTTAGGTTGAAAGAACATCAACGGATGCATGCGGAGGGTCCTAAAGAGTGTCTTTAATGGTTTGCCTTGAGCTACATCAATTCTTATTGTCAGGTTGATGTTCACAATTCACAGATTCAATTAACAATTCATGAATTACATATATAAGACATGCTACAATACATCATGTCAAACCCATAATCCACATTTACTATCTGTGTCCCGTATTGCATGTTAACTGAATCACGGGTGCAAAACTATTTTATTTGCATATTCAGAATCTCCCCCTGAGGTGATCATCAAAGTGTGAAAGTGTGCCGTTAAACATTCATCAAGATGAAAAATTACCCACCTCCATAACAATGTGAACATAACGGTGAAAAGAATCAGATCTTGAAGACTGGAAGGGCTGTATACTAATTCGGAAATCTCTTTAGCTCGTCTTCATCCATTTAATGTCGTAAATATTCTGATAACATTTGTTTGGAAAAAGGCCAAGTTTACATTATCAGATAGGAGCTTCGCAATTTGCACAGAATGAGTTGTGGAATGCTACTGACTTTGTTTGGTCATGGCTAAGTGGATGTAAGGACCTCCAGATTGCTTTCTTATCAATTATACATTTACTGTGACACTGCTATCCACTCTGCTTACCAAAGGAGAAGACCAAACGACAGGGGAAAGATACAGATGCAACAGCAACAAAATCCAATCTCACACATCAGCTTATTTATTTCAAACCCGTGAAAAGACCAGCAAAGCCATCTCCAGCATATGTTTTATTTGCAAACCTGCTCCAGTGGTGTTCAAACCAGGCTTCTTAACTTGTTAAAGGGGTAAGACCGTAATGATCAGGAAGATAAGCATCAACAGCTAAAGGTTTGCAAAAGTGTTCATTTAGATGTTTTTGTTGTTGTTTTGTTTTCTTTTAGTCATATTTTGGTATTTTTTTCAATTAAAATTCCATTTTAATTTCATTTTGATTTTATTCTATTTTATTTAATAATTTAATTTAATAATTTGATTTAATTTATAGTTTTTCCCCTTTCTTTCTATTTAAATTTTTTATTGTGCTGTCAAACGATTAATCACACACACATGCATGTATATATTTAGGAAAAATATGTTATGTTTATATATTAAATATATATAATATAAATTATATGAATATAAATATACAGTATAAGTAAATACATGTAAATATATAGTGTGTGTGTGTGTGTGTGTGTTTATATATACATAATAAATATACACAGTACACACACATATATTATGTAAACAAACTTTTATTTTGGATGCGATTAATCGCGATTCATCGTTTGAGAGCACAATTTTTTTCATCATTTAATTACTAAAGATTTCTAAACTCCAAAAAATCATCAGCATTTTTGTTGCTCTCACTAGGCCAGCAGAAAACCAGCCTGGACCAGCATGGAAATTCAGTTTGAACTTGGAAGCAGACAAGTAAATCAATCCAAATCCATAGAAAATAAATAAATAGAATAATGATTATGCGGTTTACCTTGAACAGACGGAGGATATTAGCCACCATTATAGACACGGAACTGGACGACGCTCCAATGACACCCACCACCCTTTCTGGCTTGGTAATGATGGGCGATCCTCCACCTTGGCACTTCACATCCGTGCCGTCCTTTTCGATGAGTGCCTGGACAAAAGTGAGAGACTGCTCCAGAGCATGAGTGTCTCGCGAGCATGTGTCCAGAATGCGGGCGCCCAGTGTGATGTTTGGGAGCAGTTCATGGTCATTATTGATGCGGTCCAGAGCAAAGAGCATAGCTTCCAGACGATGGATGCCCTTTTCCTTTTTCAGCTCACCGCAGGGTTTGCCCTCGTGACCCCGGGCATGAACTGGAAACAGGCCGCCCAATGAAATGTCCCCATCAATCCGGATAGAGTTTAGATGCGTGTGGCCTGGACCTTTGGGCCTCGCAGCCAAAGCAGTCAGAAAGAGGTAGAGAAGAACCAATGCTGAGCCTTGACAGCGACGGTTGGTCCATCCAACCATTTTGCCCATGGCTGAAGACATTGCAGCAAGGCGGTTTCAACCAAAGCGTGTCTATTTTTAGATCTGAGATGTCACAACTGAGTTGATGGGTCAATGGAGGCACCCTTTCACAGGGCACAATCTTTTAAAGTTCATAGGTATGTCACGTAGCGATGGGTTTGTAATTGAATGGAATGCTCATCGGGTTCTTTAGGCAGCAGTTCTGAGTCAATCCGCTTTATCTCCTGTCAAGGAACTTCCTCTAGAGTCCTTTGATGAGATTAAAGGTTAACCGTACGTCTTTGGTCCCTTGCTCCCTCTAGGTTTTCAATCGCCCTGTCTCCTAGTGGAGGAGGTTGGGGGTCTTGAGCTGCGAACACAAAGCTTCACCCACCTGTGAGCCTTCCTGGAAAAAAAAAAAAAAAGATATGAAGAAAGGTTTAAGTAAGCACCACAGAACGGCGATACAGTCAGATGTTTCTGTGTCAGTATGGACATTGCAGCACTTATGTTCTTTTCCTTAAACTTTCCTTTGCAGCATCTTACTGAAAACCCGCTTGCTTTTTCTCACATGCTCCCTCTCTCTCCTTCTCTATAGTTTGAATTTAAAACGTTGCTATGGGCTCCCAAGGTCGAGAGAAATATGCTTTGGCTCCCACATGTCTCTTTTCAACATTCTGAATGAAGGAGCTGCATTCCAATGAAGAGCTCCGATCCAGCGAGAGAGAATTATCTATGTAATGTGCTGTTTTCGTTTTCCCCCCATCTGAAATGACAAGCTCTGATAAAGAAAATGAGTTGGGTTGATTAAAATTGTTCTGCACACACCGTATACTGACAAAAGGCGGACCTTTTAATCTCTAGCCGCAACGGTCACTGCAGGATATTTAAGTTCTCGGAATGAATTGTTATTTGGGTAACCTTGAGGTCATTAATTACTTGAAACCAGATTTAATTTGTATGACACTGATCTCGATGTGAGGACAAGTTACTCCCCACAACTTTGACAGTCACTGTTATCATTACTCCATTAATTGTTGCCTAATTGGGTTAAAATTTACATACTGGAATATTCCATTAGGCTTCTGTGTTTTCAGTATGCATGTGTATATATTTGAGCTGCTGATTCTTTTGAACAGAAACTTTGCTTTAATGGTGAGTGACAAATACAGCAAACTGATCTAGCCATACTTTTAAGGCAGCGGCTATTTGCACTAAATGTAAATAGCGATAGAGCTATTTACACAAAGTGCAAATAGCATATTTTCTTAGCGATAGAGCTATTTACACTAAGTGCAAATAGCGATAGATAGTATTTACACTAAGTGCAAATAGCAATGTATTCTATTTACACTAAGTGAAAATAGCAGTATTTTTAACAATATGCTATTTACACTAAGTGCAGATAGCGATAGATTCTATTTACACTATGTTAAAATAGCAAGATTTTCTGCTATTTATACTACTTATTGCAAATAGTGGCAATTATCTGCACCTCAGTATTATAGTACATTATAAAACAGTATGCTGTAATAACGTATTGAGTGCAAATTATAATTTTAAAGGGGTCATATGACTTTGCTAAAAAGAACATTATTTTGTGTATTTGGTGTAATGAAATGTGTTTATGTGGTTTAAGGTTCAAAAAACACATTATTTTCCACATACTGTACATTATTGTTTCTCTTCTATGCCCCGCCTTTCTGAAACGCATCGATTTTTACAAAGCTCATCGGTCTGAAAAGCGAGGTGTGCTCTGATTGGCCAGCTATCCAGTGCGTTGTGATTGGCCGAATTCCTCAAGCGTGTGACGGAAATGTTACGCCTCTTACCATACTGTGATGCCGTGTCCCGGTGCGATGGGACATAACCAATAAAACCCATTATAAATGTGGCATTTGTTGCATCCAGTGGGGACATAATTACTGATTATAATGACTTATACTGTCTTTTTACGCGTTGCATCGCACCACATAAACATAAAACCATGTCTGCATTTGTGATCGGAAAAACGGCAAACAACAAGCTCTACTCTACACTGCTCAAATCTTGCGTTTGAATCATCAGTGGCAAATCCTTTAAATATGAAAACGTACTTACAGGCTGTGAGTCAGCATTATTTGTCAGCATCATAGACTGTATAGGGTCAGCATGCGTGCCGAAGGGGAAACAGGGGAACTGAATTCACCGGAACACCGGCATTGTAGGCTACTCTCCCAGAAAACAGTCCTCCTCCGTAAAATACGTTGCACACATCAGAATATTTGGTTTGAACTGTTCTGGAACAGTGTTGTAAATACAACTTAACCACTGATTTCTAGTTGTGTCCCCTTTTGGAAGACCAAACAAAGTAGTTTCGCTTTCACAACGAAACACACAGCGTCTCCACGACATTAGGGATCTTATCTATTCACGAACAGCTTGTAACACTCCAACGAGAAAGGAAAACTTGAAATTGCATCATATGACCCCTTTAATTCAAATTATTAAATGGATGCCACCTTATTGGGACAATAAAGCCCTCCCTACACCTATCCTAACCCTACCCGATACTTTAATTTAAACTTTTTGATTATTTCCTTAATTTTTATTGAAAACAAATGCCTTTCCGATGTGATATGAGATTTGAAAAGGGAGAAAAAAAAGTTTGGTAAAAGGCGGATTCGAACTTTACCATCTACGGCACTGATGGCACACCAACAAGCGGGCTATTTGCACTTAGTGTAACTCCTCCAGCATGCTGAAGATATATTTTCTCTGCCATTTCATATGTATCTATTATTTTGAGTTATACATAGCAATAAAATCTCCCTTTATATTGCTTTTTATGTACAGTACTGCATATTTTTAAATGATCACTAAATGCACAGTTACGGTACTTTCATAAAAATCCTGTACATTTCTTTAAACGTGAAACTAGTCTTAATATATTAAGCAGTCTTGCTTCTCAAGTAAATTTAATTTGCTTCATTGATTTTTATATTTTATCTAGAAAATTTGACTTTTTTGTAAAGGTGCACTAGTCCTTGAAGTTTAACCTTTTATGGCTATTGAATCTACATTTTGAACGCTAAACCATTACAGCCTTGAGTCTCACACAATAACCGTCCACTTCTAAGGTCATACTCTTTCTGAATAACATTAGACTAGACAACATTTTTAAAATATTACTGAACCTATATAGTTTTAGGTGAGGTTTTGAAATTGCACACCTCTAATCAGTACTGTAAATCACATCTTTATGTCATTCGGAAAGATCTGCACTTGTCTACGTCTCCTGCAATGGGTTGTAGTGCATAGCTTGATTGCTAACCAAAGGCACATTAGAGCCAGTGAGTAAGCAATCATTAAATTCCTTGAGGAAAAGTGGAAATGGTTGGAGCAGACATTTTGTTAGTCTATAAAGCAGAAATACCTTTAATGTAAACACTTTAATGTTATTTGACATTTATAGAATGGGAAGACTGTCAAAACAACATCCACATACTGGCATAAGTAAGCACTCAAGGCACTGCAAAATCCTACAAATGAGCCAACAACCAGGTGCATGCATTGTTGCACACTAGATAGTGTTGTCATCTGTTCCTTTTCTCAAAACACAGAGTAGATACAATGCTAATGTGGACGAAAAACAAAAGAATCACACCAAAAAAACAATATAGCACCTTAGCGCTCCTTAGACAGCAGTTTAAAGAGATTTGTACAGGAAATTCGGTAACTGCCAATAATATTTAGCCGTTCTAAGCACACTTATTAAAAGTTATTTCCAATTTCAGTAAGCCTACAGCACTCTACTTCTTAATAACAATCCAAGTGCGTGCAAGCGCTAGTATGCATACAGTAGAATACCAACCTTTAGTCTGCAGGCTGCCCAAGGGAGCCTCCACTTAGCAACAGGCTAATAAATCTTTGCTGGTGCAGTGTGCCGCAGAGAAATGGTATTGTTCCTCATATCCTATCTGATATCATACTCAAGTGTGTGCTCAAGGAAATATTAGATATGGCAATTATAAATAGCGCTAATGAGATCATTATCTGTTTCTCATAATGCTTTACATATATGGAGGCTTATATCAGACTCCACCTCCAGAACCCTTAATGCTAAGCCATTGCTGTTGTGAAAGGACAATTACTTATCATGCACTGCAAAATTAGAAGCACAAATTGCAGTCTCACTGGGAATGTTTTTACGGCGTACATATTCTTGATCAAATTAACCCATCTGCACAGTCTCGGGGAAAGTCACATGCGGAAAAAAAAGCTGCAAAGTGGAAATGGTTGGAGCAGACATTTTGTTAGTCTATAAAGCAGAAATACCTTTAATGTAAACACTTTAATGTTATTTGACATTTATAGAATGGGAAGACTGTCAAAACAACATCCACATACTGGCATAAGTAAGCACTCAAGGCACTGCAAAATCCTACAAATGAGCCAACAACCAGGTGCATGCATTGTTGCACACTAGATAGTGTTGTCATCTGTTCCTTTTCTCAAAACACAGAGTAGATACAATGCTAATGTGGACGAAAAACAAAAGAATCACACCAAAAAAACAATATAGCACCTTAGCGCTCCTTAGACAGCAGTTTAAAGAGATTTGTACAGGAAATTCGGTAACTGCCAATAATATTTAGCCGTTCTAAGCACACTTATTAAAAGTTATTTCCAATTTCAGTAAGCCTACAGCACTCTACTTCTTAATAACAATCCAAGTGCGTGCAAGCGCTAGTATGCATACAGTAGAATACCAACCTTTAGTCTGCAGGCTGCCCAAGGGAGTCTCCACTTAGCAACAGGCTAATAAATCTTTGCTGGTGCAGTGTGCCGCAGAGAAATGGTATTGTTCCTCATATCCTATCTGATATCATACTCAAGTGTGTGCTCAAGGAAATATTAGATATGGCAATTATAAATAGCGCTAATGAGATCATTATCTGTTTCTCATAATGCTTTACATATATGGAGGCTTATATCAGACTCCACCTCCAGAACCCTTAATGCTAAGCCATTGCTGTTGTGAAAGGACAATTACTTATCATGCACTGCATAATTAGAAGCACAAATTGCAGTCTCACTGGGAATGTTTTTACGGCGTACATATTCTTGATCAAATTAACCCATCTGCACAGTCTCGGAGAAAGTCACATGCGGAAAAAAAAGCTGCTGAATCTGGATCACACCGCGCCCACACGTGCCATTCACTGCTTTCCTTTTTAAAGCACCTCCTTGTCTGGGCTTCTTTAAGCATGTTGGGCTGACACCATTCAGTCAGTTAGAGCTATAATTGATCTTAAAGGAATAATCTCTTTCCCATCTCTTCTAGAAACAGGAGAGATGTGGCCCACAATGGAGGAGGAGGTGCCATGGACGAGCTCTTATTCTGGGAACGGATCCTTTGTAAGA